AGAATGAAATGGAAACGGTTGACAAGAACAGCGGACCCTGCGACGGCGCGGGATTAACGCTAGGGAGAAGAAGAGGAAGAAGTAGAAAACTTGGAAGATCACGCAAAACCTCAACTTCATGGTTTTTCTCCAATCCCGGCTAAGACCCCCTAGCAAGCGGAATGTTTGCTCAATCGTGTTCACGTACTGTCTTACAATCCTCAACAAAGCTCGGATTTGTCTACAGGGCAGCCTTCATGAATTCACTACCTATGTATTGAATTCGAAATGATTTGCTCTGGTCAGAGAAAAAGATACGCATACTTTTCGAGACTTTCCGCAGATTATCATGGATTTCTCCAGACTTCTCACCATATATAATACATTGAAAGTAAATAACAAATCCTTATTTTCTCCAAAAAATCTAACTTACCACCATACCGTGCTGGATCACAGGCGAATGGCGCTCTTATTCTTGACACGCATACAAACTGGGTACCGTGACAAAATAGGTATCTGAAGGACTAGGTTATAACAAGTTAAAGGATAAAGTCTTCGGCGTCAAACAATCTCGCTTTTTTATGCAGCCCTCATTCTACGTCTGCTTACAAGGGCTGGATTAAGGGTGTGAAACGAATTGACTTGCTCTGTAAGGTTTCAACCGAGCTAGCTTTGCGCTCTATCCAGCTAAAGACTGATATGAATTAATCCACGGTGGTTGAAGATCAATAAATCCATCGATGTTCTAATGTAATCCCATTTCATGAGGAGCCACATGTAGTGGGATTACATTAGAACATCGATACATTTATCTCATGTACTCATGAAACTTCCAAAGGAGGTGATAAACAAAAAGTGATGACCGAAAGAAATACGGCTATCCCCCTCTATTTTTTTTATTATGCGCCATAGAATACTTTGAGAAATCGATTCCTTCACCTCAGCCTGGAAGTTTCTGTAAAGTGGCCTTTTTCCATTTCCTCTGAGAAAAGCGTGAAAACTTAATAAGATGGAGGATGACTGTGTGACAATGAAGTCATATCAGTAGGACATTTGGTCAATAAAAAGGGTTATTTTATTTTCCATTTGCAATTTCTGCAGTTACTCTAATAAATTTCAAAGTTTTTTAGAAAGAACCATACCTAGCTTTGTGAAGGCTGTAAAGTTTAAGCCTCCAAATTAACAACTCTTCAGAGCTAATCTTGACCTAATAGTTAATTTTTTCGCGTTTGCGGGAGAGCCTATGTTGGTTTCAGGTATTACAAAACAAAAATTAAATCATGTACTCACCTACTGTACATCACACGTTTTTTGATTCTTTGAGTTAACAGTAAGATGGTACGTAGCTTTGGACCTACCGCAAACGGAAAAACTAGAACGGAGTACTCACTGCTTATTCGGCCTAGTTCGATAAATCCTCAGGGAGAGGGGAAGTTATGATCGAAAACGATGCATTTCTGCTATGCCAGGTTCACGCTATTTGGCTTCCCGAGATTTTTTTTGTCCTGTCTCCCTGAATGTTTTTCGAGCGTTTTTTTTTTGCATCTCTGTCTATTTACCCCAACCTTTTCCCGCTTGTATGTATCCTCATTCCCCACATGCTGTCACCGGTGCTTTCAATGGAAATTGCAAAAAACCCTTTGAACCGCTACCTTGATCCGCAGTCTCTGTTGAACCTGGAGCAGCTCGGCCTAGGTGCGTACGAGTACAAATTGTCTGCAAAATTACATGATTAGTTGCCGAACGAGGCTGGCTAATATTCGAAACACAGTGCTCACCTGTGTAATCATTTGATAATCCATCAATGTTTACAATCGGGGAGAATGGAACCATAATAGATCGTGCAAAATGAGACTGACTGCTGCAGTAAATGTTATCCGTGGGGTAGTCGTTTTGGCGTTGGGCCCTTGTCTGCAAGTAATCCCACTAACACAAAACTGCAGCTTGCTCCAGGAGTTACTGGTGATAGAATGACGCCTGTCTTGTCATTAATACATACTCATTTTGACCTCAAAGAAATTCCCCTCTCTTCGGAAACAAAAACTTCCCGCTCACCTGCTTAGATAGCCTCCAGGTTTCCCATATGTTATCAATCATGCAGTGGTGAAGGAAGAAGATTGGATCATTGGTAGCTTGAGTCGTGACTCTCATATCACCTTGAACACTGAATATCTTTGCACTATGGATATCGATCGTCGCGGTCAATTATTTGGAGATTTTACCTCCTATCCAAACGTGGTTCGATCCATGAATGAATTCAACAGCGTCTCTGGGTGGGTACTGGTCTCTGGGACACGCATTCTGAAAAACAGTCAGGCTACTTGAATGAGTCTGTTGCTTACTGTACTCGGTAGCAGTACCAGCCACTGCCATCGAAGTGAAGTCACATGGAAGTGAGCAGCAGCAGATTCAACTACGCGTCTAGCACACGAACGTGAACTCATGGAAATGTGCTGCCAGAATATTGCTCATCGTTGTTTCACCTCTGTATGGCCTCAGTATCACAAAATGCACGTAGCCACTTACGCGAGTACTTTTCAAGACCGAGGCCAATCTTGTAACGCCCTCTCCAATCCCTTTCTTGGCATTCTTATTTGCTTTCGATGTAACATGAAAATTTTCATAATATCACTAACCCAATGGGAGCGCGCATTCCCCGACATACAACGCATATTTCCATAAAAATGCAAGTGACCCATTGGGCTTGTAGGCACAATAATGAACTCACCGATGCAGCACTGAAGGCCAGAACTTGATCAGCCCGGTTCTGTTGGTACACATTATCCAGCTTATCTTGCGTAGTCAATCGGGAATTCTGCGCTCTTCCTAGAAAACGTTGAGTGGTGTGATCCTGAAAAGTATTGTATACTTCACTTAACCTAACAGCTGCTTTTAAAGGCACACGTCACGATAAAAATGGTTTTTGAGTTATAGTATGAATACGAAGCATCCCTTTATACCACGCCTGCTTCTATATGATTGAAAAACGTCCTGTATAGAGCGCAATAAGGGGCCGGAGATAGTGCCGTGTGAATGCCTCACCCTCCGTTAAGTCTATGAAGTCTAGTTGCCAGGCACCAATGCTCACAATGGAGCTACTTTGATGAAAGATCCGCGGATCGGCTTATATTCTTATGAATATCCGTTCTCTTGGAGTAGCAGTAAATAAGGGAGTGGAGCAGAACAAGACCACCTACGCCAGGGTCATCAGCTGGTTGGAAAACAATTTTAAACATTTTGGCTAGTTGTAGTTGGTTGTTTGCACTCACACCAAAAACCCCCTTCCGTCAAGCTCTTGTGGTTCCGTTCTGGTTCCAGCTCCAATTTTGGTACTTTTTTGAAAACCCATACCTCTCTTTGTTTTCACGCATCCTTGTTTCCTTTGCTTTAATCTGGACTCAAATGTCATATGTGTGATAGCTCTAGAAAGGTACATAGAAGGTGATTCAGTAGCTCAGAAGTGAAGGAGGGAGGCCGCGACGGGATGGAGTGTTCCAACTGCCGGGACTGGGACGAGAGCGTGACCACAACAGCTTGATGGAAGGGGGTATTTGGTGTTATTGCAAACAACCAACTACAACAAGCTGAAATGTTCAAAATTGTTTTATAACCAGCTGATGACCATGGCGTAGGCGTAGGTCTTACTCTGCTCTACTCCCTTATTTACTGCTATTCCAAGAAAACAGGTTTTCAGAAGAAAATAAGTCGATCCGCGAATTCTCATCAAAGTGGCTCCGTTGCTCCGGTTGACTGCTCACAGAAGAAACCGTACGAGCGGCCGGTCGATTATGGATTAAGAGTACTAACCAGCTACGAAGATGGCATCCGTTGTAGAGCTCTCAGGTATGAAACAGAGCTGGTCCCGAATCCCGATTTCACAGAAGAAGATCAAGAAAGGAGCAGACCCCGCTACATAGCCTTCCTCGATCTGGAGAGGACAGTCGACCGTCTTCAGCGACGAACCCTCTGGAAAGCGTACCGAAAACGAAACGTGGTTAACGACAACAATACCTACCTACGGGGTATGATCGGAGCTATAGATACAACTGTTAGGTTACACCAAGGGTCAGCTCTGAGCCCGTTCCCCTCCCCGCGTACAAGAAACGCCATCACAAAAGAACTCATGGATGGACTACTGAAAACCATCTTTCACGCCACTGACATCACTCTGATAGCAGAGAGCAAGGAAGACATCAAGGCAAGATGCGAAAATGGCAGAAAAAGTTGGCGGAGAACGGACTTTTGGGTACGTGAAGAAGAATGAGTTTTTCAGCTCCGAGAAGTGCACGGAGTCAGTCGTAGAAGGTACCGGGGAAGCAATTGAAAAGGTTCACGACTTTCGATTTCTGGGTAAGGATCTAGCCACTGACGATAGAGTGGACCAGGCCGTAAAACCCGAATAAATGCGGCATAGATGAAGCGGAGGGAGTTCACTGAGATCCTCCTTGTCGTCGGCACTCCAGGACTCTCAGAGGAAAAGTGTGTCGAGCAGTGGTAAGGCCCACGATGTTCTACGGCAGCGAGTGTTGGCCCGTAAGTAAAAACCATGAAAGACAGCTCTACTCCGTTGAAATTAGAGGCTCAGATAGGCTACGGTCGTACGCGACTGGAACGGATAACAAATGAAGACGTCAAGTGAACAAACAGCTATGCATGTTCGAGGCCTAAGGTAAGCGACCTCGAGGAGCTTTAAAAGAGAGATGGCGAGAAGTGTTCAAGAAGGACCTTGCCGACGCTAAGGTAATGACAGGAAATGTCGTAGATAGAAAGAATTTGAGACGGTTGACGAAAACAGAGAAGCGGGCTCTGCGACTACGCGTTATAAAAACCTGAAGGAAAGAAAAGAGAACGAAGTTGCATCACGGATGCTTTCGTGTGAGCGGAGATCATGACAGGCAACTTCACTTCTCCGGAATAAAAATATTTAGGTGGGCGTGCGGTTCGTCTCGACTGAGCCCAGTAAAAATTAAAGACGTCAGGACTGTCACAAACAGTCCCTGTCCAGCTGAAAATGAAGAATCCCTGTCCAGCTGAAATTAAAGAATCAGCATTTGAGAGGTATGAACACGTACTGAGGAGGCCGGGGGATCATCCGACAAGAAATACGATGAAACAGGAACTTCAAAGTAAGCGACCACGAACAACTCCAAAAAAGAAGTTAGGGGATGTGATCAAGGATGACCACGCCGAAATCAAGGTGGCAGCAGAAGACGCTGTAGATAGAACGACTGACAAAAGTAGCGGGCTCTGTGACGGTGTTTGATTAACGCTGGGGAAAAGAAGAAGAAGAAGAAAGTTCAGGCTCAAGTCAGTTCTTACCAATATTTTAATCTTCTCCCGTCACATTTCACGTAAGACACTGATGTGACAAGACTTGACTGCTGACTCCAGAGGTGTACACGCTCACCACCCAACAGTTCTGCCATTTTGAGACCCTCATCAGCGTTTATCTATGTTATGTGTTAGTCAATGCGATCTCGAAACCACCTACACTGCATACTCGAGTGTCGAAGCTCTCCCATGATTACAAACTTCAGAATCCGGTGGCTATCAATTTTGTGGTCATCAGCCATGTCATGTGCTACTCTGTCACCAACATTTACGTTCCCATCCTGCTTTACTTGGAATTTCGAAANATTGTATGGAATTGACACATATTCAAACGCTACCACGATTCCAAATGTAAGTCGAATGTCAGAACGCCTGTATGGATCGAGCAAGCTCATCCTTCATCCGTATATGCCCTCTTTTGTATTCACCATAACCATGATGTTGAGGGACCTCGTTCGAAGATGTCATAAAAATTGTTGACTTTGGTACTATCTACTTACATTTGCTGCAAAACTCCCAGAAAGAGCCGAATTGAGAACTCTGATCACAGCTTCACGCTCAACCCTGACTCTTACCAAAAATGTCAGCATCACTTCTTGAACAGTGCAATCAAGCACTGGTTCAAGCACGATTGGATCGAAAACAGCGTTTTCTTCCTTCAATCGTCACAGTGTTCAGAGTTGAGGTGATTTACCTAATTCTGTGCTCTCCGAGCGTCCTTCATGCCTCGGCTCTATTAGTACTCTATCCAGGCCAATTATCTTCCCAGCTTTCATCTTCCGTAATCTTCGTCGGACCTCGTCTTGTACCCATAGTGTGATGAGTTTGGCCATCGCCTTCATCAGGAACTGTTCTGACGGTTGAGCTTTTCCTTTTATAGTACGTGAGGTCTTCTTCGAGTCTGTACTGATCTCTATAAGATTTCTCAGAGCTGTATCATTGCCGTTCTTCACACCCCTTTACATATTGATGCCTTGATCAGCCCGGTAATTACCAGCCGCAGGAAAGCGAACTTTTCCTCTTCTTCATCATCGAGCTCTTCTTATGAAGCTGTCTTTTCTTACTCTTTACTTTTGCTGCAACAGCTTTGACGAACATACCCTTGCAGATATGTCGACAGTTAAGCCTTCGGAACACTAATCCTCTGTCAGTGCTTGTAGGCGACTTTCTAGTGCATCGCGACTCGCTGAACTTCTTCGTTTCAAAAGCACATTTCCTCGCCTTCTGGGAATCCTACTCGAGTTCGCTCCAGCAATTTCTTGCACGCTGTAGAATGTCTTTCACAGTGTTGCTCCAGGCTTACTCGATTAGGACCCTGGAGACCAGTATCTAGTAACTTCCGCTTGATATCTTTTATTTCGGCCAGGTGTTCCTTCCACAACCGGATCTACAGTTCCGTTCTTGTTTCGATTTTTGAAAGCTCGATGGCTATGTTCCATGAAACAAATTTGCATCGCGGAGCCAAATTATCGCTTCGCATAATTCTCTCTACTGCTGTAGGTCATGTTCTGAGTTTCCCTTTTCGTTAAGAAGGCTCTGCAGACGGCCAAGACGGGCGCCGCGCCCATTTCAAGAACCTTCTCCAATTCTATGTTCTGCTCCTGCTATCATCCTTACATGAACCCTTTCTAACCACTCCAATTGCTGTCAAAACTACTATTCAAATCACTGGCTATAGCCTTCATCGGAAAGTGAATTGTCATTATCATTCAGGCCCAAATAGAACTAATTCTTGTCGTGGGGCTGCTGGCTCGCGCTGCGTGAACGAATATCAATCTCCACCACCCCATTTTCCGCGATTGCTTTGCCACCGATTCTATTGGGTTGTAACATAAGTTCGTAGAGTTTCGCGTTGGGGTTATTTTACAACGAGTTGTTTTGTTTTTTTAGCGAAGTGTATACATTCGTTCGCAAGAGCTCTTTCTCCTCTTCAAAACAGTTTTATTTGTTTTTTCTTGGATTATTTGATTGTTCGTCTTTTTTTCTGGCTAAGAAATGGAATATCCAGGAGGAAAAAATCAGCATTTTTGACATCTGCTTTTCTTTGCTTTTCATCGAAGCCAAAAAGCAGCCGAAGCCGCTCGGGACATATGCAGTGTGTACGGGGAAGGTGTCTTAGGTGTGACTACTTCACAAAAATGGTTAGCAAAGTTCAAAAATGGCGACTTTGAGTTTGGAGACACGCCTCGAAGCGGACGACCTGCAGAATCGACGAAGAGCATCTAAACTTTTAAAACTTTGCGAACCATTTTTGTGCAGTGGACACACCTAAGACACCTTCCCCGTACACCCTGCATATGTCCCGAGCGGCTCCGGCTGCTTTTTGACCTCGATGAAAAGCGATGAAAAGCAAAGAAAAGCAGATGTCGAAAATGCTGATTTTTTCCTCCCGCATATTCCATTTCTGAGCTACAAAAAAAGACGAACAGTTGAATTATCCAAAAGACAAATTGAACAGTTTCGTAGAGGAGAAAGAGCTCTTTCGAATGAGTGTATACACTTTGCTAAAAACAAAACAAATAGTTGTGTAAACAACAAACAACTTATGTTACAACCCAGTAGTTATTGTCTTCAATGGGTTCTCTACAGGACTGCGTTTAAGTAGTGGTCGACGAATAGTTCTCAAGGTGGCTTTTGTTTGTCCAGACTGATAAGAAAGCGATTGAGGTCACCCACATAAGATCTCTACTAAAAATCTTAGGGATACGCTCGACATATAAAATCTAAGTTATGAGAAATGCCGTTTTTCATAGAGGGCCAAATTTATTCTTCGCCTATGGAGTTAAGAACGGCTTACCAAGTGAGCCTGCCAATAGGCGAATAAGCCGCTGTTCAATGTACCATCACTGCCTGCAGAGCCCATCAATTCGTCGTCCCATAGCACTGACGCTGTAACAGTTGTGATCTGTCCTACTTTTAATGTATTCGAGCAGTTCAAGATAGTACTCGAGAGAAGGAAAACCTGTAGGAAGATTTCTGTGTACCTGTGGGATCGTCCAGTCTTGCGTCCGGCGTGGAATCCCAATATGGCAACGACACTGTGGGATCGTATTGACGCAAAGCAATTTCCAGCCTAAAATGTTCTTATTTGAAAAAGTCAACGCATTGCAATTGAGTTGGGGTAGCAGCTAGTCGGACAGTCACTCCTGGATTTTTTCTTGGAATAAAATAGTTATTCTACGCAAAAGTGACGGGTGGCGGGAGTTGATGCATGCAGAAAAGAATTTCCAAAGCAGAGCCTTTTTGCTATTGATATGGGGGAGAAGGGTCAAAGGCACGGTTCACGATAAAAAAGGTTAATGAATTCTTCCTCTTGGAATACTCAGCGTTCCCCATGGGTGGTAGAAAGGACCCTCTCGTTCCCACAATCTCGACGCATAGGGCTTAGTGGAAGCCCTGTTCCTGCCGTAATTGGCTTTTACGCCCCTCGATCGATGTCACATTACACGAGTGTCGAGACAATACATATTGCAACTATTCGTTCCAGGACCCACACCCAATCAGCTGATCGCCGAGTGATGAGGCGATGTTTTTCTCCCAATCTTTTTTCCTCTGTTATCCTTTTTGCTACTTTATTTCCTATTCCGAGAGGCTGAAAAAGGTGAGCTACTTTTGCTGTTACTACTGTTTTTCTTTACTTATGTTTATAAGTGAATGAATTTTTGCTTACCGAAGTCTGTTATTCGCACCAGGACCCACATGCACGCAGTGAGACACATTGTATAGCTCGTCCGAACGCCTCACTCTTCTTCATTTTTCTGGTTTCATTCTCGTATAGCCACTTT